CAAGGAGTGAAAATATGTTCTCCAGCATTGATATTAATATTTAATATGTGCCACATCAAACAAAATACTGCTGCTCAAGCCCCGATAAGGTCGTAACGGTCCAAACCCTAATTTGCAACCCGAGTGCTCATAAAGGGGTGTTATGGGTTTTTAAGCTACGAAAAACTATGCACTGCTAAAAATATGACCACATAACTTAAAAAAATAACATTATGAAAGTTCCAGATCATGGATTTTAGTGTTGACAGGCCTCAGGGACTTCTGCGCTGGTGGATTAATCTAAACCCAATTTTCACGAAACACATGTGGGAGGGATTTTGTGATTTCCCTTGACCGCATAAGGCTCTAAAAAAATGGAGTATATTCACATATGCACTAGAATTGTCATCAAGGTTGCCTTATATCGGGGACAAATGTTGACCGATGATAGCCAATTTCAGACCTAACAAAAATGGGATGAACCTTTAATCTGATGCAAGATGTGCCCGCTGAAGGCTCAATGGATTCCTCGAGTGACTGGATACTGCGTAAGAACGCAATATGATCCCATATAACTGGTAAGGACATCTAGTGCGTATGGCATAAAAAATAGATGACATTAGTAGTGTTTGTAACTCTCATATAATCCAATTCATGTTTCATGTCTCGTCCAGGTCATTTTTTTATGTATAGTTCAATCATGTTCCATGCTCCTCATATGCCATATATAGTTATTCCGACATGTTAAAAAAAAAGGTGAAGGGGAATCTCTTGTGAATATTTTTTTAAAACATGTTACTTTCAAAACCTTTGAACTTGGAAGAGCTTTTATTCATCGTGACCGAAAACCTACAAATCATGAACTAAATACCAAACTCCAAACAAAAATATAAAATCTACCAAATTAAAAAAAGGAGAACCAAACAAAAATCTTAGGCCACCCAACGTAGAAATAAAATTGAGAGTCACACATAACCTATATTAGTCTAGCCTAGAATCCTATGTTAGTTTATTTGGCACCTTTAGCTATAATCAAGGACCATGACCTATAAAATAAATAAGTTTGCCCCTTTAAACTATGTAGGAGTCGTATAATGAGGTAAATCATGACTACTGATGAAGACATGCCAACTTTAACTAATAAAATCTCCATTTATCATTGTTATGACGCTTAGTGGAGATTCTTAAGTTATATGATTGGTTCATAGTTGAAAGATATTAATGCGTCCAAGATGATTGAAATCCATGAACATTGTAATCGGGCGTTTTTCCCAAATTTTAGGTTAGTCTACACATTTAGGCTCCTTTTATGGTCTGAGCTAGCTAGCATCATCAAAAAATCTTTCTTAAATGTGTTTACTCTTTATTTTATAGATTTCTTTAAACTTAAATCAATCCAAGTCCAAATAGTATAGTAATTAAACCCATCTAACATATCTTAAACTTATTTGATTTCATAATTGAATTTAATTCAAATTTCTTTACATTGTCAAATTTTGGGTGAATTGTCTTCCTTAAGATGTTCAAATCCCTCCTCCTAAGCCTTTCCATGAGATACTATCATTACATTGAAAGTCATACATTTAGATTTTAATTCTTCATTTTCTAAATTTTGATTCAAAACAAACCCTCGAAATCCCAACTTTGAAAGCTTAATCTTAAAGTTCATGTAGCATAAGTCAATATTTTAATCGAGAGTTTTCTCTAGAGTTCATATCTTTGGAGATGTAGGCCCCATTTGGGACAGCTTAAAACAGCGGGCAGCGTTTTCAAAACGCCGCCATAGTGTCTGTT